ACTAGATTTCAGAACTGAGCAAGCTGGTCGAATGACCAGCGAAACGTCTTGAGGAAAAATACAGCATGTCCAGTTGCCTTGATTTCTTTTTTACAGATACACCATGACCTGGATGAATGAGAACCTTCGCAGACATGTCACAATGGCGGTGTTGTGCTTTAAGAAGAATGTGTTTCAGATTGGCGTCTACTGAGCAGAGCTCGGCAGGTACATTTTCCCTTCTGCATCTAAAATAAGAACAGCCAGTGGGATGCAAAGCTGAGCAGTTGATAGAGAAATACTGATAAGGACTCAACAATAGAATTGGAAAATGGAGGCAGGCTGTGATTGGATCCCAGGGGGATTGGATCCTCCATGTTGTACACAGGTGCCATAGCTCGGCGATACGCACCCACCACCATGATGTTGAACTCGAATCCGTGCTTCATAGCCTTGCGCTTCATCTGGTCCAGCACCGAGTCGATACCGACATAACCGAAAGGCTCCCGGCCCAGCTCCTCGCATATCTTCATGCTCTCCACGCTCTCTTCCACCGGCAGGGCCTCCATCTCGCTGCCGACGCTGTCCGGCCTGGGGCTGCGATCTAAATCTGCAGGCAAAGAGGAAGACCCGAGTCACTGGAAGTGTCACTGAAACTCATCAGCAATAAAACAAAAAAGGAGAAATGTCAAAAAATAAACGGCCGAGGGAAAGTTAACCCTTCCTGCGCGGCACTGCTGTTCTTTCATACGAGAACCCAAGCTGCGGGCCCGATCCTGAAGCAACCAATCAAATTACAAATATCATTTTCCAAGATCTGATAACGGCCCATCGATAAAAGACATTTCCGAAACGCCGCTAGAGGCCTGTCCTTTATCACAGCGCGAATGCAATTCTCCAGACTTACATGAATGTCTCTCGTTCAGCCTGCTGGAGAAATCGAAGAGATTCCCCTATCCATGGATGGATGAATGAATCTCCCTTCCCGTCTATTGTATTTAGACAGGCGGCACCCATGGCTGTCTGAATGCCCAAACTGTGACTGCTTCTGAATGGATGCAGTCGCTGTGCATCTGTCAGTCTTCCGCATGGCTTTGTTAGGTCGGGTGGTACCAACAGGGCCACCCACGGCTTCAATTTCAGATGATTCAGCAGGAATTGGTGAATGGTCAGCATTAGGGCCCATTCACACGGACTTGCACGTCCAATGAGAGCCATGCTCCTGGGAGAGACAGGTGCTGTGTGTAATTGCGTGTAGCCCCCTGTACCTCTTTATTGTACATGCCGACCCAAACCTAGAGACCTGTGCGGGCACCCGGACCTGCATTGATGTGCAGGTTCAGGTCAGCATGCAGTTGCGTCCTCCCATAGGGATGTATAGGGGGCTGCACCCAATTACATGCAGCACCTGTCCCTCCTGGGAGCAGGTCTCTGTATGGGTGTGCACGCCGTAGGGATGTGCATGCCCATGCGAATGAGCCCCTTAGAATTATAATTATCACATAACAGTAGGGTTGCCACCTGCCCGGGTTTTAAATATTGTGTCCGGGTTTCATGGCAGCTGAAACCCGGACACAAGATGTCAGGCAGACAGGGACAACCATTAAGATAGGGGCTACTGGCCCCCCACTGAAAATAGTCTTGACTGTCAGATTTACATATGAGTGGGTGGAGCTATTTACATATGCATAAGCCCTGATTCATTCTCCCCCAAAACATTTCTGTGCGTCGCTAGAGTGTTCGGGGTTTCGATGGAAGGAAAGGTGGCAACCCTACATAACAGGTGTCACATAGCAATAAAAATCACATAACATAATAATCATAATGATCTGCATACATTAAGGAAATATACGTACAGTACTGTAACATTTCTGGACTGTCTGAGTGCTCCTGGAAACATTTCCTGCCAACCAAATACCAGTTAAAAAAAAATTCGGTCAATGCCATGCATTGGAATCTGCTATGAAAACTCCCTTCAGCCATTTCTCCCCCTGTGTCTGTGCACAGGGGGAGGGAAACCGAGATTTGCCTCATTTGCCACCTTGACTGATAATCTCTGCACTGACCCCCCTCAGCCCATTTGCTTCTCATGCTGAATAATATCACCAGCCCAAATGAACATCTGTAGCACCTCCATATCCGAAGCAGGCAGGAAATCAAGTTTGATGACATTTCTATACGCTGTAGCCAGGAGTTGTTACCTCCATGCTTGTTCCAGTTTCAGTAACTCAATAGATTGAAGCCGGTGGTTTGGCATGACGGTCAAGTTATCAGGACTATGAATGGTCAGCAACAGCAGCCCCCGTGTTTCTCTCAAGCCAGGTTTCCTGACAACTCATAGACTGGCTTCAGTACTTCATCATTTACTCGGAACAAGCATGTGGCATGTTGTCATAGAAGAGACATAACTCAAACATACTCGCTCTAGGTCAGAGACTCAGGAAGTCTTGAAGCCAATGGATTAATATGGCATGACATCGCTGGATTAGTATGGTCAGCAATGGCAGCCTTACATTATTCTCAACAGATTTCTTTTTTGTCCTATAATATCGGATATGGGACTGATATAAAAACATGGATATGCAACTGAGAGAGAATCATGGATATGGAACTAATATGGAGTCATGGATATGGAACTGATATAGGCCATTGTAATCACATTGGGAGACGTGTAGAAAGCAGTGACATTGCTGCAAAACCTCTGATATATATATACAGTATATACATAATATAAATATATAAATGGTTATGTAAATTATATGGAATCATGGATATGTAATGGAACTGATATAAAAACATGGATATGGAACTGATATAAAAACATGGATATGGAACTGATATAAAAACATGGATATGGAACTGATATTGAAACATGGATATGGAACTGATATTGAATCATGGATATGGAACTGATATGGAATCATGGATATGGAACTGGTATGGAATCATGGATATGGAACTGGTGTGGAACTATGGATATGGAACTGATATGGAATCATGGATATGGAACTGGTATGGAATCATGGATATGGAACTGGTGTGGAACTATGGATATGGAACTGATATGGAATCATGGATATGGAACTGGTGTGGAACTATGGATATGGAACTGGTATGGAATCATGGATATGGAACTGGTGTGGAACTATGGATATGGAACTGATATGGAATCATGGATATGGAACTGGTGTGGAACTATGGATATGGAACTTATAGAAAATCATGGATATGGAACTGGTGTGGAACTATGGATAAGGAACTGATATGGAATCATGGATATGGAACTAGTGTGGAACCATGGATGGGGAACTTCTAGAGAATCATGGATATGGAACTGGTGTGGAACTATGGATATGGAATTGATATGGAATCATGGATATGGAACTAGTGTGGAACCATGGATGGGGAACTTCTAGAGAATCATGGATATGGAACTGGTGTGGAACTATGGATATGGAGCTGATATGGAATCATGGATATGGAACTGGTGTGGAACTATGGATTTGGAACTGATATGGAATCATGGATATGGAACTGGTGTGGAACTATGGATATGGAACTTATAGAGAATCATGGATATGGAACTTATAGAGAATCATGGATATGGAACTGGTGTGGAACTATGGATATGGAACTGATATGGAATCATGGATATGGAACTGGTGTGGAACTATGGATATGGAACTTATAGAGAATCATGGATATGGAACTGGTGTGGAACTATGGATATGGAACTGATATGGAATCATGGATATGGAACTGGTGTGGAGCCATGGATATGGAACTTATAGAGAATCATGGATATGGAAATTATAAAGAATAATGGATATGGAACTGATATGGACAATTGTAATCACATTGGGAGACATGTACAATGCAGTAGTATAATGGAACTGATATAAAAACATGGATATGGAACTGATATAAAAACATGGATATGGAACTGATATAAAAACATGGATATGGAACTGATATTGAATCATGGATATGGAACTGATATGGAATCATGGATATGGAACTGGTATGGAATCATGGATATGGAACTGGTGTGGAACTATGGATATGGAACTGATATGGAATCATGGATATGGAACTGGTATGGAATCATGGATATGGAACTGGTGTGGAACTATGGATATGGAACTGATATGGAATCATGGATATGGAACTGGTGTGGAACTATGGATATGGAACTGGTATGGAATCATGGATATGGAACTGGTGTGGAACTATGGATATGGAACTGGTATGGAATCATGGATATGGAACTGGTGTGGAACTATGGATATGGAACTGATATGGAATCATGGATATGGAACTGGTGTGGAACTATGGATATGGAACTGGTATGGAATCATGGATATGGAACTGGTGTGGAACTATGGATATGGAACTGGTATGGAATCATGGATATGGAACTGGTGTGGAACTATGGATATGGAACTGGTATGGAATCATGGATATGGAACTGGTGTGGAACTATGGATATGGAACTGGTATGGAATCATGGATATGGAACTGGTGTGGAACTATGGATATGGAACTGGTATGGAATCATGGATATGGAACTGGTGTGGAACTATGGATATGGAACTGGTATGGAATCATGGATATGGAACTGGTGTGGAACTATGGATATGGAACTGGTATGGAATCATGGATATGGAACTGGTGTGGAACTATGGATATGGAACTGGTATGGAATCATGGATATGGAACTGGTGTGGAACTATGGATATGGAACTGGTATGGAATCATGGATATGGAACTGGTGTGGAACTATGGATATGGAACTGGTATGGAATCATGGATATGGAACTGGTGTGGAACTATGGATATGGAACTGGTATGGAATCATGGATATGGAACTGGTGTGGAACTATGGATATGGAACTGGTATGGAATCATGGATATGGAACTGGTGTGGAACTATGGATATGGAACTGGTATGGAATCATGGATATGGAACTGGTGTGGAACTATGGATATGGAACTGGTATGGAATCATGGATATGGAACTGGTGTGGAACTATGGATATGGAACTGGTATGGAATCATGGATATGGAACTGGTGTGGAACTATGGATATGGAACTGGTATGGAATCATGGATATGGAACTGGTGTGGAACTATGGATATGGAACTGGTATGGAATCATGGATATGGAACTGGTGTGGAACTATGGATATGGAACTGGTATGGAATCATGGATATGGAACTGGTGTGGAACTATGGATATGGAACTGGTATGGAATCATGGATATGGAACTGGTGTGGAACTATGGATATGGAACTGGTATGGAATCATGGATATGGAACTGGTGTGGAACTATGGATATGGAACTGGTATGGAATCATGGATATGGAACTGGTGTGGAACTATGGATATGGAACTGGTATGGAATCATGGATATGGAACTGGTGTGGAACTATGGATATGGAACTGGTATGGAATCATGGATATGGAACTGGTGTGGAACTATGGATATGGAACTGGTATGGAATCATGGATATGGAACTGGTGTGGAACTATGGATATGGAACTGGTATGGAATCATGGATATGGAACTGGTGTGGAACTATGGATATGGAACTGGTATGGAATCATGGATATGGAACTGGTGTGGAACTATGGATATGGAACTGGTATGGAATCATGGATATGGAACTGGTGTGGAACTATGGATATGGAACTGGTATGGAATCATGGATATGGAACTGGTGTGGAACTATGGATATGGAACTGGTATGGAATCATGGATATGGAACTGGTGTGGAACTATGGATATGGAACTGGTATGGAATCATGGATATGGAACTGGTGTGGAACTATGGATATGGAACTGGTATGGAATCATGGATATGGAACTGGTGTGGAACTATGGATATGGAACTGGTATGGAATCATGGATATGGAACTGGTGTGGAACTATGGATATGGAACTGGTATGGAATCATGGATATGGAACTGGTGTGGAACTATGGATATGGAACTGGTATGGAATCATGGATATGGAACTGGTGTGGAACTATGGATATGGAACTGGTATGGAATCATGGATATGGAACTGGTGTGGAACTATGGATATGGAACTGGTATGGAATCATGGATATGGAACTGGTGTGGAACTATGGATATGGAACTGGTATGGAATCATGGATATGGAACTGGTGTGGAACTATGGATATGGAACTGGTATGGAATCATGGATATGGAACTGGTGTGGAACTATGGATATGGAACTGGTATGGAATCATGGATATGGAACTGGTGTGGAACTATGGATATGGAACTGGTATGGAATCATGGATATGGAACTGGTGTGGAACTATGGATATGGAACTGGTATGGAATCATGGATATGGAACTGGTGTGGAACTATGGATATGGAACTGGTATGGAATCATGGATATGGAACTGGTGTGGAACTATGGATATGGAACTGGTATGGAATCATGGATATGGAACTGGTGTGGAACTATGGATATGGAACTGGTATGGAATCATGGATATGGAACTGGTGTGGAACTATGGATATGGAACTGGTATGGAATCATGGATATGGAACTGGTGTGGAACTATGGATATGGAACTGGTATGGAATCATGGATATGGAACTGGTGTGGAACTATGGATATGGAACTGGTATGGAATCATGGATATGGAACTGGTGTGGAACTATGGATATGGAACTGGTATGGAATCATGGATATGGAACTGGTGTGGAACTATGGATATGGAACTGGTATGGAATCATGGATATGGAACTGGTGTGGAACTATGGATATGGAACTGGTATGGAATCATGGATATGGAACTGGTGTGGAACTATGGATATGGAACTGGTATGGAATCATGGATATGGAACTGGTGTGGAACTATGGATATGGAACTGGTATGGAATCATGGATATGGAACTGGTGTGGAACTATGGATATGGAACTGGTATGGAATCATGGATATGGAACTGGTGTGGAACTATGGATATGGAACTGGTATGGAATCATGGATATGGAACTGGTGTGGAACTATGGATATGGAACTGGTATGGAATCATGGATATGGAACTGGTGTGGAACTATGGATATGGAACTGGTATGGAATCATGGATATGGAACTGGTGTGGAACTATGGATATGGAACTGATATGGAATCATGGATATGGAACTGGTGTGGAACTATGGATATGGAACTTATAGAAAATCATGGATATGGAACTGGTGTGGAACTATGGATAAGGAACTGATATGGAATCATGGATATGGAACTAGTGTGGAACCATGGATGGGGAACTTCTAGAGAATCATGGATATGGAACTGGTGATATGGAATCATGGATATGGAACTGGTGTGGAACTATGGATATGGAACTTATAGAAAATCATGGATATGGAACTGGTGTGGAACTATGGATAAGGAACTGATATGGAATCATGGATATGGAACTAGTGTGGAACCATGGATGGGGAACTTCTAGAGAATCATGGATATGGAACTGGTGTGGAACTATGGATATGGAATTGATATGGAATCATGGATATGGAACTAGTGTGGAACCATGGATGGGGAACTTCTAGAGAATCATGGATATGGAACTGGTGTGGAACTATGGATATGGAGCTGATATGGAATCATGGATATGGAACTGGTGTGGAACTATGGATATGGAACTTATAGAGAATCATGGATATGGAACTGGTGTGGAACTATGGATATGGAACTGATATGGAATCATGGATATGGAACTGGTGTGGAGCCATGGATATGGAACTTATAGAGAATCATGGATATGGAAATTATAAAGAATAATGGATATGGAACTGATATGGACAATTGTAATCACATTGGGAGACATGTACAATGCAGTAGTGTTGCCGCCAAACCTCTGCCATATATATATATATATAGAGACACACACACACCAACCGCACATTTATAAAGCCATTTTTCTGCTGAAATAACCGTTCATAAAATGTCTAACAAATGTAAGATCGCAGAACCTACCGGAGCTCTCCATACAGGTGACTGGGCTCTCACGTCCCCCTCAGGGCTCTGTTCTATCACACACAGTGAGCACATTGCTATATATAAACTGCCTGTGTCGTAAAGATCTGCACGCTCAAAGGATAACATTACAGGGCGAATGTCACTGCCCCCGACTATGTAAATTAAATTGTATAGAGCTGATAGTGCTCGGCCAGGTCCAAATCAACAGGGTGCTTGTAGTGACCGCAATGGATGGCGTCATCCAGAACCAGTAGTAGAGGGTAGGAGGTCACCAGCAAGAATATATTAGGTCTATGTATAAATGTGACTTTACCAAACACTGTCATTTAAAACACATGGACCCGGAAGATTCTTTAGCAGAGAATGTTTGGTGAAAGTCACATTCGCAGCTTTATTAACAGATGTCATACAAGGTCTTGACCTTATGTGACATTATGGAGCTGATTTATGAATCTTCCACCTAATGTATTGCTGGGCACATGTTGCTCGCACGACACTACCACCCTTAGACAGTGCTGGGGAGCATAGGAATGATTTTGTAAGGAGGGCAGCGAGGCGATAAACATTTCTGCCATGGGTGCCAAAAAGACTGGTTATGCCAAATCACACAACGGCATATCATGGCTAGTTCTCAGCACACATCCCAATTGCCTTATAAGACCCTCCAATTCTAATACAATTTTCCGACTGCCTGGTGAGACCCTCCAATGTTAATACAACTTTCCCACTGCCTGGTAAGACCCTCCAATGCTAATAAAACTTTCCAACTATTTGGTAAGACCCTCCAATGCTAATACAACTTTCCCACTGCCTGGTAAGACCCCTGAATGCCAATACAACTTTCCCACTGCCTGGTAAGACCCTCCAATGCTAATAAAACTTGTCTACTGCCTGGTAAGAGCCTGCAATGCTAATACAATTTTCCAACTGCCTGGTAAGACCCTCCAATGCTAATGCAACTTTACGACTGCTGGTAAGACCCTCCAATGCCAATACAACTATCAAACTGTCTGGTAAGACCCTCCAATGCTAATACAACTTTCCCACTGCCTGGTAAGACCCTCCAATGCTAATACAACTTTCCCACTGCCTGGTAAGACCCTCCAATGCTAATAAAACTTTTCAACTGCCTGGTAAGACCCTCCAATGTTAATACAACTTTCCGACTATTTGGTAAGACCCTCCAATGCCAATACAACTTTCCCACTGCCTGGTAAGGCCCCCAATGCTAATAAAACTTGTCAACTGCCTGGTAAGACCCTCCAATGCTAATACAATTTTCCAACTGCCTGGTAAGACCCTCCAATGCTAATGCAACTTTACGACGGCTGGTAAGACCCTCCAATGCCAATACAGCTATCAAACTGTCTGGTAAGACCCTCCAAGGCTAATACAACTTTCTGAGTGCCAGGAAAGACCCTCCAATGCTAATACAACTTTACGACTGCCTGGTAAGACCCTCTAATGGACACTATTGTAGCATTGAATGGATTGGTGAACCCAATTCCAAAAATGTCAGTCTCGGTACATGGTGGGGATCTGGCCCACCAGCCTCTCCGGGACTCCAATAGTGCAATTTCCGTGTTCCTAGCTCCTCCCTGCTGCCCCACAAGGCTGATTTTTGCCACCAGGATCCAAAGAGTTTTAAGAATCTCGTGAGCGGTCCAAGACATTAGCATATCAGTGTTGGGAGGAGTGACCCTTAAGAATATTACCAGGGACCCCAAGAGGCCGATTAAAACCACAATGTCCGATCGTCAGCATGCGTCCACCCAGTAGGGTGGTAAAAACACAATTCCTCTTTATCCCAGGCATCCGTGCCAATGTGCTTCCCTCACTCACGCACACGTACCTCCTAATCACACCGATAGATGGGGGGAAACGGCCGCCCTCCTCAGCAACGACATCCAGCCCCCCGGGGCCCCAACGTCTCCAGCGTGCCAGGTCCAGAAAAATGCGGCGTTTCCCAAGCAGGCAGAGGGGACACAAAGTGCGTGCACCTTGTGGCATTCAAAGTGGTCTCTCTCTCTCTCTCTCATCCCCGCTCTATTGAAGCCCCCCCACCGGGAGGAGACAACAAAGAAGGTCCCTACGTTATAGGCACACGTGACTTGAATTGGAAATAATAACCCTTTAGGAGCCAATGGGGATTGTAAGGAACAGAAGAAAAGGGTCCTCTCCTC